ATGATCAACAGGCCCACTTCACGTGTAGCTCAGCAGTCTTTCCATCTTGTACCGCTATAGTCCACTCAAGAATACCACCTTTCATTCGGCATCCCTCTTTCGGCATTTCTGCCGCTGTAGTCAGATCGGCTAAAATAAAAGCGAACACATTACAATGATTCTGTAAAGAAAGCAAAAAGGAAAAGATCGGCGCTGTTTGACTTAGAGAGGAAGGCATTTTGCACTTACTAGTTTCTCTGCTAAATCATGTTTACTGAATAGGCTTAACATTGGTAAGATCCCGTAAACCCTTGTGAAGCTTCTAAATGGTGTACGTGAGTCACTTAGGTTGAGGAATTCACAAGTTTTCACTAGGTGGCCTGACTAAGCTTCGCTTGCTGATCTTGGCATTTGGTGCCCCACCAAGCCGAACTGCTCCGATTTATCCACAAAAAACAACGGTTATACCTTCTCCGCTGTTCGCCTCTTCTGTCTGTGATACAACCGGAGCAATGAGCCTCACCTAAACAATATCATTCAATAAGGTAACCGAAGGTGGCCGAAATCCTTCTGACACCTCAAAACAACAATCTACCTTTATTTTCTCATCAGTGCTTCGCGGAATTTGTTCTTTAATTGTTAGCAGCACAGGCTGTGCACGTGAATTCTTGACAACTATCACTTGCTCGTGTACATTGGAGGAGCTCTTATTGATGATTCCAACCTGAAGCTAGTCAAAATGACGCAACCCTTTGAAAAGCCGAAAAGGAAACCAACGAACTTGCTCATGGTACTTTTTGACTGGCTTGTACTCAACACGTACAGGCCGTATCTACACCAAGGGAGCAGGAGAACCTCTCTCCAGGTGACACGTTCTTCATGCTCGTCTGCAACATAAAACGCAGAATATATTTCTGGGGGTTGAGATTTCTATTTGCCTAACTTATATGAGAAAAATATTGGCACCTTGGCTACGAAACTGTTGTTGAGATAAACGGATGCATCGCCTGGCAAAAATGGAAGTGACGACGAGTTCACTGCAGAAGCAGTCAAGAAAGTGCTGGTATTCTTGCATGGAACACACTCATGAATCATCTGAGGTGTGACGTCAATCCACACCGATTGTAACCTGAATCGTTTTCACAGTAATATAAATCGTTATTAGCCGTGGATGAAAGGGCGCGTCGTCGGGCAAGAAGAGTTTGGCATGGCGCCTGGCCTGTTCTTCACCAGTTGTGCGAGGGATAGGCGACAGCAATTGGTGGAAACGGGTTTTTGCTACAACAGTTGGTGGAAAACGTATCAGGCGACACGCGTTTGCCCCGCACCAAACCCATGCCGCCTGACACGCCCTTTCATCCGCAGTAAACAAGACTGTAAGTATAATACATAAGAAATTGGGAAAGAGACTCGAAACTATGTCATACCTTGTGCTCGGCACCATCCGATGGAATAGCTGCCGGTTTGGTAATGATGAACTCGGTGCTTAATGCGTGCTGAGCGGGTTCCGCTACACGAGCCATCTGAAGCAACCCCATGATAAGCAGCTACAGGAAAAGGAGAAAATACGGAAACTGTGCAGCATTTACCTCCATATGCATTGGAGCTGCATCAAGAACACATGCTTGTTCTTGCATTGAACCGAAACCCCCCCTCCCCCGACCGGCTGTTTTCAGCCTACAAATAAACGAGTGTTTCATCTCATATTAATTCCTTCATCTTGTAATGAAACCCACATTGCGTTTCTTGCCATATAAGGCTGTGCAACAGGTGGAGGTGGAGGACGATAGAAGACAGCTTCCAGAACGCCGAGCTCTGGGATTTGTCCACCAAGACAAGGCTGAGCGGTAGAAAGCACCTGAAATCGTCTTCCATTATATTGAAGTAGAGCAGCCGATCAGGACTTCCGTGATCATTCAAACTAAACCCTTATAAGTGCTTAAAAGTTAGCAATTTTAAACCGTAATACTTACAAGGGAAGCATTCATCCAGTCTTCTCCTGTGGACTGTGATATATTTCCGAAGTAGGTTATCTGAAAGTAATATTAATGAGGTGGGCATGCTTCCCACATAAGCAAAAAGCTGTTATTTTTTTACCTTGAGTGACTGCTGTCCGGTCGTGTCGACACGCAAATCATAAGTGGGCCGCCAGTTCGCGTTATATACTTGATAGGTTAATTCTAGTTGAACGGAGCCACCTTTCTCACTTTCCAACGTAACGATGATTGACCTTAATGATGGGTACCGTCAAGTGAAATACGCAGCAAGACCAATCGAACAGCCTTATAAAAGAAGCTCTTATATATACTCACTTGCTGTATAGCCTCGCTCTCCAGTCCGACTCAGCTCTATTCAGTTCCTGTTGTAAAGCACCCAACTCCCTCTCGGCTTTTTCAAGGATCTTATTAACTTTGCGTAGTTCTGAAAAAGCAAATCCCAGTTTCTCCAAAAGAAAGCTGCCGTCCAATGTGGGTCTCCACCTAACAACTACTAAATTGAACTATCAAAAATACTAGTCTATAAAGCTCCAGCTGTGCCGCCGAGTAGGGGCTGAGGGAGAGGAGCAAAACTGTCAAAAAAGTTGTCAGGCCAAATACGACCCTCTCTTCAGCGAACAAACAAAATACCACCCTAGGGCCGGATTCTCGCGTACGATGTGCCCTGGAATGAATTGGGAATAAGCTCGCGCCGTTTCGAGGCTTTAGAGAAGTTTATAGCCAATCGCAAAATGTTTCGCCACGCGGGTAGGAATAACGAAATGCTCCCCCCTACCTTACCAATATGCGCCGATTGTTTCTAACGAGGAACACTTCAAATCATATCATTCAGGAGAGCTACATTGCCTCCGACTACCGAGTCAGAATGTAAACGATAAACGAGATCTGTTAGATGGATAACTTTCCGTAAGCTTACCGGAGCGAACTGACGACGAGCTTTCTTCATAGAAGGAGTAAAACTCTTTGAGACTTTCCAGTGTGTCCTTGTTGAGAAGGAAGGGTTCTCGCGAATCTTTCGGTAGGCAGACAACATTGTTACCAGCCTAAAGTATGCATAGCGTAATGGAAGGGTTTTTCGAAAGTTGGACGCGTTTTCAGGCTTGAGATGGAGTTTCAATCCGAGCCTGACGGGGGCGAAGCTTTGCTGCGGGTGAACTATGCCCTGCATGCAAGAGGGCTTTCGCATTTTAAGAGAAGTGACCCAGCCGGGAACTTCTTCCCCGCCCAGCTCAATGACTTGTCATGCGACAAGGGATGTTCCTAACCGACTAACTGAGGACCTATACTGGCCTACCGCCTGAAAGACAGCTCAGTATTTTTAAAAAACTCACTCCTTCAACTAGCTTGTCCAGCACTTCGACTCTTCTCTGTACAATACTCACGCGGTCCTTCAATTCGTTGACTTCTTGCAACTTGTTCTCGTACTTGGCGCGTATTTCAGCAACCTGAAAACTTGTCTTTCAATTCGCCTTTGTAAGAACATTGTGATGAATACTGCTGTACCCTTGGTGAATCGGTTTCTTCATGAATGGCTGCTTTCTCACTGAGCTGAACGTCATGAATGGTTCCGTGACCACGCCCATCTACACGGACTGAATCATGAATGATGTTGCTTGTGACGTTCTGGAAAGAAAAGATCGTTACATAAGAACCATGAAGGAGACGACTGCTGGAATAATAGCTTTGCCAAGACCGAGTACATACTTTGCAAAAGCGAAGAGTGCGTCAAATGGAAGAAACACGCAAAGGAATGTAAAAGAAGCCATCTGAGAGTTTTTCGAGTTCAAAAATCACGCGAACAGCGGCTAGACAAGACTCGACCAACCCCGCCCACTAACGTTTCCGGAGAACGCGTAACCTCTTAAGCACCGTTCAGGGGCCGTATGCTATACTTCCCCTCGAGGGGAGATATCCCCTAGTAATCCTCCACTCCCTGCCCTTATCTCTGCTGATGCCTCTCGTCTCTCTGGCTCTCGCCGCTCTGCATCCATACTCTTCTGGCGCACGCTCTGAGCGAATATAGTACAGCGCAGAGAATAATCGATCTCTTCCCCTCTCCCCCAACACATGCCGTTGGGGGAGATTCCGGGTGACTGGGGGAACAGAGATGCAGAGAGGCGATGGGCATTGGTAGAAATAACGGCAGACAGCGGAGGTTTACTGGGGGATATCTTCCGCCCGCTCAAAAGGGAAGTACAGCATACGGCCCCAGACTTCGCGACGACATCGCTTCGGTCGCGCGTTCGACGCGATCAATGCACCGAATGCGCGACCGAAGCGCTGCCGTCATGGAAGTCTGAACGCTGCCTTGACTGCGTCCATAGCTTGCGACGACGTTGCCGACGTCGACGTAATCGACGTAATGGGTAACTGTGTTTCGTAGATGAGATACGTATCGATTCAACGCAATGGACGTGAAGGACGTAACCGACGTAACAGACGTAATCGACGTAATCGGCGACTAAAGACTAGATATGTATCGATCCGACGTGTCGACGAAACCGGCGATAGAAGATTAGATACGTATCGACCGCCGTCGGTTACGTCAGTTAAGTCGGTCACGTCGGATCGATACATATCCAATATCCAATCTTCAGAAGATTGTCGCCGGTTGCGCCGTCACGCCCATTACGTCGGTAACGTCGATTACGTCTTATCAATAGGTATTTCACTTCGCGAACTAGTCGCCGAAAACGTCGATTACGTCGGAAACGTGGATTACCGTCGCTGATGTCGTAGCAGGTATAAACGCAGCCTTAGCTCGAATGGTCTTTCGCAGTGTACTCTGCACACACCGATGCGAATGCCGCGCGCCCGCAGCGCGCGGCATTCGCACCAGTCAAATGATTCACTGTTGCTCTTCGAATTTTCTGACCCATCAGCATACCCATTGGTCCGCGCTCATAGATCAGGAGGATGGCAGAAAAGGAAAATGCGCGCCAAGGGCAAGTATAATAGAAACAGGATGTATACTGTCAGTCGCGACGAGCACAGAGTAAGGGGCATGGCAAGCGGTGTGATAAGCGGCATGCAGTTGGATCCTATCCACTCAGCCATGACTGCTAGTAGTCGTCGATAGCTCTCGTGCGTCCTTACTGCAATTAGCTAGGGAGGCGAGGGATTGCCACGAATATACGTAATTTCGCGCGCCCGGGCGCGCCGCCGTGCGATGTCGCGCCCACACGTACATGACTGGGCGATTTTAGGTTACCATGACGAAACATGCGAAATCAGCGGCCTTGATACTACGGAAGATTGAAACTCACTCCACAGGACTCATTAATGTCGCTGACCTTCCAAAACCACCGTGACCCCATTGCACATTCCACCCTTACACCATTCCCACACCAACTCTTAAGACCGTCATTCATGTTCAGGGCCCAACTCTTCTGAAAAGCCCAATGGCCCGTGGCTTGCTCATATGTTTTTGCACCCTTTCAAATGATCTGCATTCCAAATCCTGCTGGTCCTGACGCACTGGCAACCTTTCGCGTGGTCCGGGACTAAACCAACTTGAACCAAATCCCTTTAAGGGCGTCGATCTTCTGTTTTTCTCTGCACTGTCTCTTCCGCAGGTACTCTGTAGTTCGCACATTCCAGCTCTCCACGGATTATATGCGGTTCACCCACACCGGAGCTGACACAGCCATTGCTTGGCTCGCTGCGTGTTTCGATGCTTTGGCAGCCTCTGTCCTGCTGTCCTCTATTTGTCTGCGTTACATGCTTTCGCAACAGGACCACGCACAAAAGTTCAAGATGTCACGTAACCCTTTCGCGCCAGGATCCTTGCAAAAAATTTGGTTGTCACGTAACCCCGCGGCTCGGAACTAACCATAAACATCTAAGTATTGTTATCGAATATCGGAAAATACGAACAGCTCGTTTATTATGTACTCGTTTCGCGCGTTCTAATTCACTTCTTATCTACTCCTGCTCTTCTGTGTCTCGAAGTATAAAAGGACAGCGTTTTCTGAGAAAAAGAATCGCCGAAGCGAACACATGGCGAAGAATTGGATGGGAATCGATTCTGTTCTCCCTTTTCTCCCAAAATGCCTGATCGACAATGGTCCTTGCCTTTGCGTGCGTTCTGCTATTCTCTGAAGGCGTTGGCGGCCGGCGCCGATCAGTATTCATCCAGACCTTTCGACGAATTCTTCCAAAATGCCGCTCTTACGATTGTCCTTCTCTCCCAGGACGTCAGATCGATACTTATGCTTTTCTTTGGCGCTTCCAATTCTCCGATCATCCCATTCTATCAACTCGCAAAGTGCGAACAGTCGCGCGCAGGAACTGGGTCAGCGTGCCCGATACTGTGATGGATCATTCTCGCTACGGCTCTGTGTTGCTTTTTGCACGATGCTTTTGTGACGTCGCTTTAACCGGAACTGCGGCTTTCCCTTCAGTGCACTAAGGTTTCCATTTAGGTTTCTCCCTTGGTTTTATGTGTTCCACTGGCGCCGCAACTGGGACACTGCTGTTCTCAACTGATGTGGGCGAATAATGCCCCGAGGTGGTTTGTGTTTACCTTATTCAGTACAATCAGTTCCATCACTGTTGTTATGTGGGGTTCTCAGTTCGAAACCCTAGTCTAATTAAACGGAAGCCATAGATATAGTGTAGTTCGCTGCGGACGGTTGGGCGTGTCAGGCGGGATGAGTTTGGCGCGGTGCCAAACCCGTTCTCCACCAGTTGTTAAAGCGAGCAAGTGATATATCATATCGTTCGTATTACTCGTTTTCTACCACTTTTTGTCGCATGCGCGCTTCAACAAGAAGGCAGAGAACGGCTTTGACGGGTGACACACTCATACTGCCTGACACGCCCAACCGTCCGCAGCGAACTAGAGTGTACTCACTTCAAGATGAACTTCGTTGAATCCAGGCTGTAGTTCACAAAGCACTTTCCGTTTCAATTCGGCTCGGTCGTTAAACACGACCACGCTTTCCAGCGTCTGATCACGGCACTCCTTTTTCTGCACGGAAGGACTGGACATCCTGAAAGATTTTTATGAGGAGACAAATGACATTCATTCAAATTTCGAAAATGAACGAGGAAAGAAGCGCCCTCGAGTGAACGTGAAAAAATAACAGTTACAATAACAAAACAATAGTTCAGTGTAGCTTATCATAGGGATGACGGGTTATGAGCAAAACACTGGCCCGAACCAGAATCCGAACATGGACCTCACCTTCCCAAATTTTATTCTTATATTATATCACAGCAGCCAC